ACTTTTTCTCTCTCCTCTCTCCTCTCTCATTCTCAATCACTTTTTCTCTCACACACATCTACTCAATTATAACAAAATATCAAATCATTCCAAACTCCCAAACTGCAAAACTACTTTCAAAATACACAACCAAACAAATCAAAAAAATTTCTAAACTCTCTCTCCCAAAACAATTTTTAAAAATTACTCTCCTAAAACCAAACCAAATTGTAGACGCGCTCTCGAGAACTCTCCGATATTCGCGCTCGCGAGGGAGCGCGAATCTCATTTTGTTTTGAGCTACTACAGTTCGGACTCAATGTCACAGTTCTGAATCTAATCTCGCAAAGTGCAATGCAAGATCGATAAATCACCAAAGAGTCCAAATCTGGCAAATCATTTTGGAAAATTGATTTTTATAAAGAAATGCCAAACATTGACTGTTTTGCCAGATACAGAGTCGCCACCTAAATATTTTATTTTGGGGGAATTTAGAAAATCCTGACTCGTGCCTAAGGCCACGTGTCCGTCATCACCAAAGTTGCCTCGACTCGGGAACTTGGGTACGAGAGGGGAAGGTCATGCAATGAGCACCCCCGCTCGCCCGATCAAAGATCGGCCTGTACTAAGCATGATATTTTGTTTTTGAAAACACATGTGCTCTTATTCTGGTTAATTAGCTAATCTTACTACGTGATGCGCACATCATATAAGTATAGACTAGATTGCCTAATTTGGAACAAAACATTTTTGGAACAAAGCATTGCATATCCGTTTGTTTGGAAAATAGTTTGAAGTTTGCTACTCGTAAGTAGGCTAAAATGCGGATTTCGATGAATCGTTCCAATTCAAGTAATCTGACCTTCATCCACAGGCATTCAGGCAGTTATAGCAAATAAGCAATTAGCCTCATGGCAAGCATGCTTTCACGGCAACATTAACACACATGCAGTATGCTAAAGCGTAAACACTCACAGTGTACTCCGAGCCAAAACAGAGAACTAGTTAGAAATCATACATGATCTTAGTTCATGCTAAGATAGCTAATGCGACACATGCGAGAATGCAACTAAAATAGGCTCGGCTATTCTAAGATGGCATGTGAAATGCAACTTGACAACACGTATTCAACTAAATGTATTGAAATAATATGCAATTAGTATGATGTACCGAGCCCGGTGCATGCAAAACAGATGAATGATGCACGCATGCGAGCATAAGGTATGCTAAACAAAATATGCCCTAAAACTAACCATCGTAAGCGGTTAAGTAAAAGGGAGAAAGAAATGGGGATTGGAAGACATGCATCACACACACGCACGCTTATTACAACAATTGGCCCTCTCGTCGGAGGGTCTGAATAAGAAGTTTATTAGTTAATCCAAGCTAATTAAACTAATTATTACAAATAATGCTAATTAACTATTCCTAGTTAACTAACTATTACAACACGAATAAGCAGCTAAACGCATTAACTACTTAAATTACATAACCAAAGCATAAACTAGCTAAGCAAATTAGCTAAGTAAAGCAGTAAACAAAGGTGCCCTCAGAGGGAAGAATGCATGCATGCTCGGTCGCCTCGTTCGGAAATCCGTCGCGATGCCCCAGCTTGCCTCTGTTTGCAATTGTTCTCAGAACCTTGCATCAAGCTCCAAAAGGCTTGAACTCCACCTTAGGAACCTATAGGAGGGTGGCCGACCACATAGGGATGTCACCAACCATGGCGGACCACCCGTCTTTGCTGTGAACCGGAAAAAGTGGTCGGCCAGCTAGTTTTTCTGGCTGGCCGACCAGTTGTTGCTACCAAACTCCAGTTTTCTGTAACAGAGAGCAAGAAAGGGCATAGCAATGTATTTGCAAGATACGTATGCACAACCACCCTCCCTATCATTTCATGAGCTAAAGGAGGTGTGGTTTTCGATTCTCGAGCCACCAATCACGCATTTCAATGCATGATGGTCGAGAGGCGAAGTTACACAATTCAATATGAAAATGAATGCACACATAAACACATAAGGCCTAAAACTCTATCATGATAGATCAAGAGCGTCAGCGACCGAGAATTGAGGCACGTTTCATCACTTTAAGTATGAAACGTCCCTCGTTTCCCGTGTTTAGACTAACACCTATTCCAAACAACAATGCAAAAACAAGCATGCAGACATGCAATGGACAAGCATGCAAATATGCAATATGACTTAAGCATGCAAACATGCAATGCAATATGAACAACCTAACAAGGCTAATGACATGCACAATGCTAGTGCATGCATGGCATACACAATGCACAATGCTATCATGGCATACTCAATGCAATATGATCATGGCATACACAATGCGAATCAAGAGTATGGCCTGCGCAATGCAAACAATAACATAACATGCACGATGCGATATAACATGACACACACAATGCTCAATGGACTTAAACCAAAATGGGTAGACCTCAGCCATGCCCAAATCAGTGGCCATAACATCAAAATAAAGGCACAAAAGGCAAGACATGCATGCGCAATGCATTGGCCATTCAACTAGGCCTAAGAGGACAACTCTCAAGAAGGCTCAAGGAGTGACAAATGCAGAAGTGTAACAACACAAAATGCATCGAAATTAAGTGTGAAATGATGCCAAATCATTCAAACAAACACAAGTATAACATGCAAAGGTCCTAAAGCATGAAAGCTAATAAGGAGGACTACAAAGGGGGCATGCAATACATGGCACAAACGCATGAACCAAACATGGACAGAGCTGAAATAGGTCAAGACAATGACCAAACCATGCTAAGTTAGGGGCTCAAAGGTCAAGGCATGAGAGCATACAAGCTAGGCCATAAGCAAGGCAATAATGCACAATCCTTTTAAGCACTTAAATCATGAAAGAAGTGGAAATATGGCAATGCTACATGCTCTGAAATAAAGTATTAAATGATGACAAATCATCTAAATAGCTCAAAGATGGCATGCCTGAGTCATCAAAACACAAAGCTAGCAAGGCCAATTGCACTACAGCTATACAAAGCATGAAGCATATGGCAAAGGAAACCTAAAACAGTCCTAGAACATGTCAAAATGATGCCAAAACATGTATGGAAGGAAGCCAAAACAAGCTAACATGAAGGGCATGGGGCATGATGCATACAAGGCAAATAAGGTGGATTACACTACACCTATTAAGACCAAGCATGGGATGACTTAACCAACAAAAATCAAAGTT